GACACCAATCAAAATTAAATCGAAAAACGTAGTTAAGTAAAAAAGTGCAAAAAGACGAATAGTCGGAGGCGTTAAAATCAAATAAAATTAATTATCATTTTCCAAGAAAACGCCTTCGAAAACTTTGACGCTATAGACGTTCGGGGTTTTGGAATTCCGGTTCAGTGGCGTGAGAAATTTCGGAAAGTGCCTTTGTTGTTCCAATAGTCTGGAATCTTACGCTAATACGAAAAATGCGTAGCGTGCATTGTAAAAAGTTAAATAAAGCGAACGTTAAAGTTAAACGTATAGAACACCTAACCCAGAATCAAGGCGCAGCAGCTGGAGTTAAGCCCAAGACACGTGCAACTCAAAATTGAGGTGGGAGGTGTTTTGCCGACAGCTCATTCAGCCGCCCTGTCTGGAGTATTAGAAACGTGATCCGGACAAGGGAAACTTGATACGACCTAGCTCTAGAAAATCCGCCCCATAAAAAATGGGTGTGAAGTTCTAATCGTCTTTCGGGAGTCTCCGGAAACCGCCGCTGAAAATTGCGCCCCGGGCAAATTGGATTGGGCGGGCTCATCTAATTACCCCCGGCTGTTTTCGACAGCGTTGTTTGATCCCAAAAAGAAATCAAAAAAAATTTTGGGACAAGAATGTAGGCAGAAGCCGGAAATCCGTTTCGTCGAATTTTGCGGTGTGGGTAAATTGTGTTAATCCGATACCATTGGATGGTATGTATTATTTCCAACCCCCACATTTTTCGCAAAATAGCGGTACAATCTCTTCGGAATTGTCGTGCACCTTTATGCCCTGTTCATGTACTCTAGCGTTCGTCGAGGTCATCAAATTCGTTTGTTTGGAATGCTTTTGTTTTTTGTCCTTCCGAAAATAGTTTTTTGAGAAATTAGGACAACGGGTTTTCATTTCCAAAAAAGAATTAATGAGGCGGATTCACCAGGAAAAAAGCGCAAATTGCGTGCCCTAGCACAGATTTCCGAAATCATTGAGCTTTCGGGATCCATTGTGATACAGTGTGATAAATCATGGTAGTGTTCCTCTTTGATTCTGCGAAAAATCAACCTCACTAAAACATCTGCAGTCGGGCAAAAGAGGACAATTCGTTTTACACCAAATTCTGCGAATTCCCTCAGCTTTCGGCGGGTTTCATCGTGATACCGGTACCACTATGATAAACTTTTACGGCTATTTACGGCTATTTTTCTATAAACCTGACAAATTATTGGAGCTTTGACCGATTAAATACAACGCAGCACTTTATTATTCCAATGAGATCGATTTTTGAGCAAAATAATGTCTAAAACAAAAACTAGACGAGGTTTTTCGAGTTCCGTGAGCTTTCGGCATCTTTCGTCGTCACGCCGGTGCCAGTGTGATAAATTCGGGACGCGCGTTCCCTCTTGATCCGAAAAAACATTTCGAGAAATCTTCGGCGATACGGTAGCACATAGAAGATCGTTACGCACGGGTTTATCGCACTTCCCTAAACGTAAATGTCACAAAAATTCCTGAATGTTCACCATTGCAATCGATAGAAATATCGATTCTTCATAATAGGGTAGGTAATCATTGAATCTAATAGAGGGTATAAGTCAGCCATAATCAAAAAAGTTACGGTAATTTAAACTGCTGCCAAATAAACATCCCTGATTGAGAGAGGCAGAAAAGCGGGATCACGGCTTGGATGGTTAGTGCCTAAAGTCGGAGTAGATTTTGAGGAGGAGCTTCCCCACCTTCACCAATTTCTTCTGACCAGCCAGGGTAGTGCGACTCATCCCATTGTTTGAATTTAATTTTTTAATTATGTAATGTCGAAAATATATTGATATCGAGTAGCCCGGCCACACCGGGAAGCAGATCCAGAATAGCATGAAGAGAATGCTAGAAAAAGGATATTTTCAGCTATCACGTTCTACCATACTTTGGCTTGAGCGCTGATTCATAGCCCCCGATGACCGATTGACTATCATTTGCTGGTAATAGAGTTCCGGGTTATCCTGAAGTCAATATCTGGTAAATGCGATCCGGTTCGCTGGAGATCAGCATGTGGAATTGTATGACCTAAGCCAATGTGGAAACCAAATTAAGTATATCTTACAAATGTAATAAATGCCGGGATGTAGACCAAGAAACAATAAAAAGCTATTCTCAAAGGACCTGGTGACGGGTTGGCGATAACATGATGACGGTACCTTAAGGTCGCATATTCGGCCGGAAGGATTGTAGCAACCTACCAAAACGATAACGGCAATATCACATAGGTATATGAAATGCAGTGCGAGGTGAGGGCTTGAACTAAAAAACTATTTCTTTCTTTGCCAAGCCGACCATACATATCATACAGACCACCGGCGAGATTTTTCTGCAAAGTCCATGACATTGATAGACCAAGGCGTAATCGATTGGGATCATTCTGAAATCACGTGTGTTTCAAAACTTAGAGGTATACCTCATCATCACAAATCCGGCACTCAATCCGAGTAGTAATTCGGAAGCTGTTGTGCTTAAAAACCGGGAAGGTCGAGTACGAGATGCTCACTTACCAGGCCAATATTATCGAATAGCTCCGGAAAGCCTTTGATGTATGGAATATGATAAAGTATAGTAATAGTGTATTAAAAAGTATCGATAATACATCGAAGACATTGTGTCCGATGACGAAGAAGTGAAATCGAAACTGGGTAAGCGGGACGATCATGCTAAAATTTTGTCTTGGTTTTGCTATGATAAAACACAGATAACAAGTGAAATCTATGGATCTAGGCCAAAAATTAGTCCGAAGGAAATGAAAATCACGATTATCGCACTATGAGACATAGCGTTCACGCTTAACTGCCAAATTGGTGTGCGAAAAAAACGCGTGTGCGAAAACTCGGAAAACGCATTTGGGCGTGGGCATGTAGCCCATGAAAAAATTGATGAACATGAGCAAAATGTAAAACCTTCAAAAACCCAAAAGAATTTGTGTCGAAAAAATACTAACGCGAACATTTTAATCCGTTGTCGTTCCGGCTCGAAAAAATCGACCAAAATGATGCTAGGTAAATTGAGGCCTCGGCAGCCTTATTTGTAATTGCCAAGACGCTTTGTTCAAAATCCGATCCTTATTTCGATGAACTTGGGACACAGCATTTGGAACAGGGCACAATTTAGCATTTTTTTAATCCAAAAAGAGAATTGTTCCTTTCCAGACTTTTTTTGAGGGCCTAGGTTCGGACCAATTCGAAAACCAACATGACGTTGCCAAGCTGCAGGCTGATTTTTGAATTTCCGGCCAATTTCCCGACCAGGGCCAGGTGAAAGTCTAGCTGGCCGGGGCGAAGATCGCCCGTAAATTGCTGTTTTGACCATTAAAAGTTGCGGCTAATGAGCAAGGTCTTGTTTTTGATTCCGAGAATACAGTCTGGCCTTTCCAACTGAAGCCTCATCCCAAGCAATGAAAAATAGGAATTTATTGATTTCAAAAATTAGTGGTGTTTCAAGAGCACCGCCTTGTACACCAGAACTTTCCAAATGTCCATTTCCTGGGTACAGTGCCCTTGTGACTGGTTGACTTTCATTAAATAGGCCAAAAATGGAAAGCAGGCTTTTTGGTAAATATACTTATTTATTGAGGGCTGCGCCGGTGGCTGATGAGAGCAAATGATTGGAAAATACTGACGTTGTATTAGCTTCGTAAAAGCTCATGTTAGGAGCGTGCTGGTGACAAATTCCTTCCTTGCTAATATGATAAAGCTGTACAATGCCAAACAAACTGTAGGAATTAACGAAATTTCGCTGCTGCGAACTACGCTTTATATTATGTAGAGCCGCTACGATACGAGCTTTTGGTTCTTCTGTATTAGCGGGGGGATGAAGTCCCAGGACGGGCCAAACCGAGAATCTTTATATAAATAGCGAAAATGATTGTGGATTGTTTTCTACGATCCATCAGGATCAAAAATGCACAAATTTTGGACAAGGAAATATTTATGGGTCGAAAAGTTAAGTTTTTCCGCAACGTGACCAAAATTTTGGCTTTTCGAAAATTTTCCCATGGTTTTTTTAAAGTGCATCTGCTTCAAAACTAGTTTACGTTTCTAAAAACAGTGTAAAAATACTTTAAAAGTCCAAAGGAGAAAGTTTTTTGAAGTTTCTTTGGAACTTATTAAAACACACTAAAAATGAAGACATGTTGGATTGCACCAGCTATTCTATAAATTGGCGATTAGTTGTTATGTTGATGCCGTCGGGCATAGGTCCATCTATGCCACTAATTCCGGGCAGCCGACCACGCCAGCCGGCGTCTAATGCAAATAATTACAGACAACAGTTCCGCGTCCCGAGCCGGCCGTTCCCTTTTGCGCCTGGTGGGGCCCAAATTTTGACGCATTGTGGCGCGTGGATTGGCGCGGAAATGCACACCCCAAATTGCTACAAACAATGGGGGGGGGCTATTGTTCTTTATTGGAAGCGTTCGGCAACATTTTCGGGTATAAAAGGATGGGATTTCGGGGAATTGGACAAGCCGAACAGCTCCTACAATCTCATCATCGACCAGCTCTTCTTCTTTTAGTGAGTTTGCTATAAATTTGAAACTGATTTATGCGACATTAGAAAGCTCCTTAATTAGATAAAAATAATATTATACAGTTTTCCGAATAACTGAGATTTTTGATTAGGAATAGTTGCTTTAGCTCTTAAAACAGCTTGAAAAAAATCTACCTTTAGGTGCGGTTGGGAGATGGTTTCAAAGCTCCAAAATAGTAGCTATAGCTTTTAGAATGTAAAAACCATTTGATTAGAATTTGACGATCGGAAACTCTTTAGTACAAAAAACATGTTCGCCTACATCGCCGGATTCGCACTTGTCGCCATCACCTCTGCCGCTTCGGCCCAATTTGGATGCGCGACCGGGTCGTCCACTGGACGTAATTTTTAGACTTAACTCTACGTACCGGGGTCCCAAGCGTATCGCCAGCATACCGTGTCTCAATTTCAATTTTGCAGCTTGTGATATGGGACCGTGTATTGGTGAGCAAATTTGCGTCACCCTGTCCGATGGTTCGCTCGGATGCTGCCCGGGTGACAATCTGACCTTCAGCTGCCCGACTGTTGCCACATCAGCCACGCGGTCGTGTAAGTTTTTTTTTGCAATTATTTTCCTTGAGCTCGAGCTCCTCTTCTTTATCTTGTTTTTCAGCTTGCGTCGATCTCGTCAACCCGTCCACCGGAGTCTCCGACTGCCCGAAACGTGCGGCCCTCTGCAATGATGCCACCTACTTGAGCGTCATGCAAGTGCAGTGCAGGAAGACGTGCGGCTTCTGCGGTAGCTCCGGCAGCGTTACTGTCTCCAGTACTTTTTTTACGATTTGATCCTGATTAGCCTGATCTAGCACTTTGCACCCCCAGCCAGAAGTTTTCGAGATTTCCGCTGTTTAGTCGGGATTCTGACTACGCGATTCGATAGAGAATCAAAAAATACACCAAAAATTTAAATTATAGCCCAAATTAATGTAATTTAAAAAAGTTACAGCTAAAAAGTTTTTGCACTTCCGCCGGGGGGTTCAGGTAGAGTCTGGCCCGGTTCTCCGATTCTGTCACTGATCACGATTACGAGTATCTAGGAACAAGCGGTAGTAGACGATTTACAGGATCTTTCATTGAAACTATGGCATTTCTATATCTTTTTTTTCAGGCTGCATCGACCAGGTCAACTCGGCCACCGGCACCTCCGACTGCCCGGCCCGTGTCTCGCTCTGCACCAACTCTGCCTACTCCTCGCTGATGCGCACGCAGTGCCCCAAGACCTGCGGCTTCTGCTAAACCTATTTGAACACAATTGTATAATACTATGGGAAGTTGCTGCCTTTAGCGTTGTCGTTTTAACTTAGTGCTAGAATAAAGTGTATAGTTTGCATTCCCAGCATAAAAACCGCTCGAAAACCGCTCGAAAACCGCACAAAGTGTCGCAAAAAGATAAAAAAAAACGCCGTTGCTGATCGCAAACAAGACCATCGCGAAAGAATGAACGCTCTAATCGAATTTAAGGCAACAAACTATACTAATATAAATATAAATCAAAATCTTCTCATATGTTTTTGATGTTTCCAAGCATCACCTACTGATATGGTAAAAGATGGAATCTTGCGCCAGGATAAAGTATTATTTTTTGGGCTGAAAGCCATGCCTGCGGCGCCGAAAAATATTTGTTAAAATTAAAACCTATTTTCAAATTCCTATGAGATTGCAACGAAATTGCTTAAAACGCGAGCATTGTAAGGTAAAAACGTATGGTGGTTTGGTGGTACGACCTCTTAACGATGATTTTTTTATTTAACCGCTTGCCTGAAGAAGTCAATGAAAGGTTGTATGTAGAAAGGAGTTAGCATCGAGGAAGCACGATTCTACGGACAGTAAGAATTATAACTTTTATTACCATATTTGTCCCTAGTTACCGAATAAATACTCCTGATACAATGCCTGAGCTAAATTAGCATAGAAACGTTTGAAAATTTCCCAAAATGCATTTGAAGACCGCCAGAACCATGCAATTCCGCACGGGGCGGGGGTCGAACCCGCGATGGATCGCTCCACAGTCCGACGCGCTAGACACTATATCACAGGGCCGAGTGGGAAACGGAGTCAGAGGCGCCCCAAACTCCAAAGGGCCTTGGCCAGATACGGGGGACGACTAATGACACCTCTCTCCGCGCGTTCTTGGGGGCAGCACCCTCGGGGTGACAGTGTGCGTTCCAGCGTTCTAGCAGTCTTTAAGGTAAAACATTCATGACAAACAAGCCATCCACCCACGCCGAGAAAGTCATGCCCGAATTTTTGGCCTATTTGCCTAATTTGTGCCACTAATTCCGGCCAGACCGGCAGTCAGGCCCGTAAGAGGGGGGGCGAGGGGCGAGCCGCCCCCCCGAAATCGGCCGAAGGCCGAAAAGTACATAAGGGGGGACCCTTATGATTTAATTTTTCCAAAAAATTTTTTGCCTGCGGCGCTGTTTTTGTCTATTTTTAACACTAGTTTTAGTGTTATAAACCCTATGTTTTCAAAAATTTTGCCTGCGGCGCTGTAGTTTTAGTCCTATTAGTGAAAAATTTTTGGGGTCGCCCCCCCCCGAAATCTGGGTTTGTTACGGCCCTGCCGGCAGTGTCTAATGCAAACAATTACACACAAAGCTTCCGCATCCCCAGCGAGCCGTTCATTTTTGCGCCTGGGAAGGGCCCAAATTTTTACGCTTCCCGGGCGCTGATCGCCACACATATTGCAACACCATAAAGCCCATTGTTCGTTATTGTGTCTTTTTCGCCGCAACAATTTGGGCTATAAAAGCACTGGGATGTCCGCAATTCAACAAGCCGAACAGCTCCCGATTCTTCTCATCTACCAAGCCTTCTAACTCTCAAGAAAAATGCTCGCCTACATCGTTGGATTCGCCTTTGTCGTCCTCACCTCTGCCGGATCAGCTCAATTTGGATGCGCGACCGGATCGTCTACTGGACGTAATTTTTAGACTTAACTCTACGTACCGGGGCCCCAAGCGTATCGCCAGCATACCGTATGCCAATTACAATTTTCAGCTTGTGATATGGGACCGTGTATTGGCGAGCAAATTTGCGTCACACTGTCAGATGGTTCGCTCGGATGCTGCCCGGGTGACAATCTCACCTTCAGTTGCCCGACCGTTGCTACATCCGCTACTGCGTCAAGTAAGCTACCTTACTGCTCATCACTAGGTCTCCTCGCTACTTACTTTTCCACTATCTAAGCAAAAATAATCCACGATTTTCCAGCCTGCGTCGATCTGCTCAACCCGGTCACCGGAGTCTCGGACTGTCCGTCACGCTCCTCGCTCTGCACCGATGCCACCTACTTGAGCGTCATGCAAGTGCAGTGCAGGAAGACGTGCGGCTTCTGCGGTAGCTCCGGCAGCGTTACTGTCTCCAGTACTTTTTTTACGATTTGATCCTGATTAGCCTGATCTAGCACTTTGCACCCCCAGCCAGAAGTTTTCGAGATTTCCGCTGTTTAGTCGGGATTCTGACTACGCGATTCGATAGAGAATCAAAAAATACACCAAAAATTTAAATTATAGCCCAAATTAATGTAATTTAAAAAAGTTACAGCTAAAAAGTTTTTGCACTTCCGCCGGGGGGTTCAGGTAGAGTCTGGCCCGGTTCTCCGATTCTGTCACTGATCACGATTACGAGTATCTAGGAACAAGCGGTAGTAGACGATTTACAGGATCTTTCATTGAAACTATGGCATTTCTATATCTTTTTTTCAGGCTGCATCGACCAGGTCAACTCGGCCACCGGCACCTCCGACTGCCCGGCCCGTGTCTCGCTCTGCACCAACTCTGCCTACTCCTCGCTGATGCGCACGCAGTGCCCCAAGACCTGCGGCTTCTGCTAAACCTATTTGAACACAATTGTATAATACTATGGGAAGTTGCTGCCTTTAGCGTTGTCGTTTTAACTTAGTGCTAGAATAAAGTGTATAGTTTGCATTCCCAGCATAAAAACCGCTCGAAAACCGCTCGAAAACCGCACAAAGTGTCGCAAAAGATAAAAAAAACGCCGTTGCTGATCGCAAACAAGACCATCGCGAAAGAATGAACGCTCTAATCGAATTTAAGGCAACAAACTATACTAATATAAATATAAATCAAAATCTTCTCATATGTTTTTGATGTTTCCAAGCATCACCTACTGATATGGTAAAAGATGGAATCTTGCGCCAGGATAAAGTATTATTTTTTGGGCTGAAAGCCATGCCTGCGGCGCCGAAAAATATTTGTTAAAATTAAAACCTATTTTCAAATTCCTATGAGATTGCAACGAAATTGCTTAAAACGCGAGCATTGTAAGGTAAAAACGTATGGTGGTTTGGTGGTACGACCTCTTAACGATGATTTTTTTATTTAACCGCTTGCCTGAAGAAGTCAATGAAAGGTTGTATGTAGAAAGGAGTTAGCATCGAGGAAGCACGATTCTACGGACAGTAAGAATTATAACTTTTATTACCATATTTGTCCCTAGTTACCGAATAAATACTCCTGATACAATGCCTGAGCTAAATTAGCATAGAAACGTTTGAAAATTTCCCAAAATGCATTTGAAGACCGCCAGAACCATGCAATTCCGCACGGGGCGGGGGTCGAACCCGCGATGGATCGCTCCACAGTCCGACGCGCTAGACACTATATCACAGGGCCGAGTGGGAAACGGAGTCAGAGGCGCCCCAAACTCCAAAGGGCCTTGGCCAGATACGGGGGACGACTAATGACACCTCTCTCCGCGCGTTCTTGGGGGCAGCACCCTCGGGGTGACAGTGTGCGTTCCAGCGTTCTAGCAGTCTTTAAGGTAAAACATTCATGACAAACAAGCCATCCACCCACGCCGAGAAAGTCATGCCCGAATTTTTGGCCTATTTGCCTAATTTGTGCCACTAATTCCGGCCAGACCGGCAGTCAGGCCCGTAAGAGGGGCGAGAGGGCGAGCCGCCCCCCGAAATCGGCCGAAGGCCGAAAAGTACATAAGGGGGGACCCTTATGATTTAATTTTTCCAAAAAATTTTTTGCCTGCGGCGCTGTTTTTGTCTATTTTTAACACTAGTTTTAGTGTTATAAACCCTATGTTTTCAAAAATTTGCCTGCGGCGCTGTAGTTTTAGTCCTATTAGTGAAAAATTTTTGGGGTCGCCCCCGAAATCTGGGTTTGTTACGGCCCTGCCGGCAGTGTCTAATGCAAACAATTACACACAAAGCTTCCGCATCCCCAGCGAGCCGTTCATTTTTGCGCCTGGGAAGGGCCCAAATTTTTACGCTTCCCGGGCGCTGATCGCCACACATATTGCAACACCATAAAGCCCATTGTTCGTTATTGTGTCTTTTTCGCCGCAACAATTTGGGCTATAAAAGCACTGGGATGTCCGCAATTCAACAAGCCGAACAGCTCCCGATTCTTCTCATCTACCAAGCCTTCTAACTCTCAAGAAAAATGCTCGCCTACATCGTTGGATTCGCCTTTGTCGTCCTCACCTCTGCCGGATCAGCTCAATTTGGATGCGCGACCGGATCGTCTACTGGACGTAATTTTTTAGACTTAACTCTACGTACCGGGGCCCCAAGCGTATCGCCAGCATACCGTATGCCAATTACAATTTTCAGCTTGTGATATGGGACCGTGTATTGGCGAGCAAATTTGCGTCACACTGTCAGATGGTTCGCTCGGATGCTGCCCGGGTGACAATCTCACCTTCAGTTGCCCGACCGTTGCTACATCCGCTACTGCGTCAAGTAAGCTACCTTACTGCTCATCACTAGGTCTCCTCGCTACTTACTTTTCCACTATCTAAGCAAAAATAATCCACGATTTTCCAGCCTGCGTCGATCTGCTCAACCCGGTCACCGGAGTCTCGGACTGTCCGTCACGCTCCTCGCTCTGCACCGATGCCACCTACTTGAGCGTCATGCAAGTGCAGTGCAGGAAGACGTGCGGATTCTGCGGCAACTCGGGAAGTGTGACAGTCTCCAGTAAGTTTTGCTGTGACCTAGGTTGCATTACGAAAACACTAGGATTGGCGTTTCGATCCGAGCACCTGATTCGTTATTTTTATCAGTCAACGTATTCCCGATACCGTCCTGTTTTCAGGCTGCATCGACCAGGTCAACTCGGCCACCGGCACCTCCGACTGCCCGGCCCGTGTCTCCCTCTGTAACGACTCCGCCTACTCGTCCCTGATGCGCACGCAATGCCCCAAGACCTGCGGATTCTGCTAAGCTTTTTGTGTGCTTTGTCTTTATTGGTAGTTCGTGTATATGATTTCGATCGTGATGTAGTGCTAGAATAAAACTTAGACTTACTCCTCGTAAATTGTCATAATCGTCTTTCATTAACAGAACAGACATAAAGTCCAACCGATTTCAGAGATTGATTTTGTTTGCTAGTTCAGCCAATTGCAATCAAGCTAGTTCTTTGGCGTGTTGTTGCTCGCCTCCTTCCTCGGCTTTGGCAGCTTCTGCGTGTTTTGCTAGAAGGATTTGCTGGCTGGAAAAGTTGGCTCGTTACCTATTGCTTGGCGCTTCTTCTTTTGCAAATATTTCCCGAAAATGTAGATGAACTCGAGGATTGACGCTATCGAGGCCCCGACAAATAGTCCAAGTGCGCCTCCGATGTTACCTAAATTAAAATGGGGACCTAGCTGCAAAGACGAGTGAACTTACAAGACAGCGTCCAAAAAGTGTGGCGCCAGCTCTGGGTCCAAATCTCGATGGTGTTTGATTGGACATAGATATTCACGACCGCTAGGTTTTTTCTAGGACCAGAATGTCCGGCGCGTCAGTATTACAAGGTTATACCTCGCAAACTCTTGCCCAACTTGAAAACTGTCCCAATACTTCAGAAAGTGATCAACGTACAATTCACGGTAAGCGTCCTAGGATTACTATGAAAATTTCAGAGACTTCGTTTTACTGCCAGCCTCTGATAGCCAGTCTGCAACCGCTCCACTTTTCCCGGAAGCAGCTTTGTAAACTCAACAATACACTGTTCAAGCGATGCCCGATCTTCGGTCGTATTACTATTCTTTAATAGCTATCGAGATTCGCAATCGTAAATCAACGTAACCATCATTATTTTCAACAACTCGTCGTTTTCCGTTTCGATAGCCTGTTCCGTGTCTTTCAATAGTTCCTCTATGGGCTCTTTCCATTCCTAAAATACTTAAGACAAAAAGTTCATTGCACAAATACAGACATTCGAAACAATTCCCATGAGCTGGCTCCGGAAGCTGTCCATCCAGTCTATCCATTGCAACTTTACGGTGCCGCCAGCCAGGTACTGGAACCGGTTTTTAAAGCTTCTTTTGAGGTTTTTACATCATCCTTCAGAACCCTGACGTTTAGATCGAACGCGCTCAACGCTGCCCAGTTCACTCGGGACGTTATCTTGGTTTTCAATAATTTTCCGGTGAGTGTGGTGTTCTAAATAAGATTGCTCGGAACTTGAAAAAGAATTACGTCCTCCATGAGTTGCATCAAGGGCGCAACGCAGTATTCATGCCATCTGATAAACCCAAAGTCTTCAGTTCCATTGGTGAGCGTATTCCAGACTGTTGAGTGTTTTTCGGTGTCCATAGGAAATAGCGGCATCCCTGCGCTGTCAAGGCTAAAACCCAAGCGCATGACGCGTTATGGTCATGCGTTTCAAAATCATCTAGTTCTCTCAAACCCACAATTCCAGCTTGAACTGAAACCTCGTCAGCAGTTCCAGGAAATCTCGCCATTCCTCATCGTCGTAACGCGACCTTTTTTCGTAAATGTCCTGCATGCGGAGCTTGAGATCGACGAGCTGAACCGAAATCTGTTACCGGAGAACCAGAGACCTACATAGCTCTCCGGAATCATCTCGGACTCCTCGCAGTTCACCGGCTTTTCTTCGAACACCCGCGAGCCATCCGGGCCAAAACCGACGAAGCGCTTTTCGGAGGCTTCTGCCTGAACTGACAATTTCACTGCGGTCGGGAATGCACCGCTTTTCACGTCATGTGCGACGGGATCGTAATAACATAAAGTGTATGAATAAGACTACCTTTGGTAACCCGAGCGTATAATCGCCGCGAGATGGAAGGATTGATTTTGGAAGTTCGGATAAATCCTAAAAGCGGAGAATATTTTGACTTTCACCCACTTGCTGAGTGATAAATTCCTTTGATTCACATGCGGGCAGGCAACTCGTCTTCAGAATTCCAGCATGCGACTTCATGCTGAAAAAAGTTGCGCGCATTTCTTCCCGCATTACCTTTTTTGGATAAATTGCGCGCAGCTGAAATACATTTCGACGTCGCATTGCGTCAGGTTCGAGCGGGCTAAGAAAAGTATTTAGCTACATTCAAGTACCACTATCTGCGTCGCCGGTATAAAGACTTCGAACAGAGCAATTACATTTCTCCTCGAAAAGACGATGATAGAACCGGCCGGCGCAGGCACTGAAACATTAACTAAGCGTTTTCTGACGTTTCGTGGTTCGAGGCACAAGTTCAACGAGCACCATTAGGCTGGGGTTGCTTACTGTATATTCCGCTCGTCCTGGTAATCTCCAATTGGAGCTGCTGTGGCGTCAGTTTCTTGGTGGCAACCACTACCAGGCATTTTTCTTCTCTAAACTATGGATTCAATTAATAGCTTTTTATCATCTAGTGCTGCTCTCTATTATCATCAGCACATAGCCAATACCCGAAGGTCTGATTTTTTGACCATACCAATTTTATCCGAAACGGTAGATTCGTGGAAAACCCGGGCACCACGCTCGCTCCCGTTGCAGTAGAAATTGGTTGCTCGTCTTGGTCGTAGATCAAAATCAAAATATTGTCATTATTTGCCGCTTGGACAGGACCATTATTACTTTGAACCCATTTTCAGGCGGAGTTGATACAGTTGCGCCGCAAATCGTTGGTCTTTCATAGGTTTCGGCGTTTAGAATTAATCGTAAACTGTGGCTCGGGCCTGAAGGCAACGGTTTCTTACTTTCTCCCAGCTTTTACCCGCCCCACCTGCCTGGTCAATGACAATAGGCCAGCCCTTATCGTAGTTAAAAGCCCAACAAAGGCCATTGATGGTCCAGATTTGTTTCCATTGGCGCATATCGCAAGCAGGACCATCGGGGAGGGTGCATCTAAACTGTGTTCACTCTCTCTGGCTCTCTCTCCCGTTTTCTCTCTCTCTCTCTCTCTCTCTCTCTCTCTCTCTCCCTTTCTCTCTCTCCGCACACTTACGAAATTATCGTCGTATTCAATTCCGGAACCGCTGACCGCAAAAATTCTTCAGCAGGTACGTCCCACATTCTGTTGATGGTCTAGGAAGCCAGGCTTCGGAATTATTAGCGCACGTATACCTTGATGAAAAACGCCCAATTCGCCCCAATCGTTCGGTTATCGGGCGGTACCCGTTTCAGTACCTCTTTTGACGCCAGGTACGAGATTCTGAAACCGGCTGATTCTAGTGCGGATCAGAGGGCTTACCGATATTGATTATTTGGACAAACAGCGATAGCCGGAAACAAAATCTCCGATGGGTATTCGGCTTCAATATTGGTAACTGTTGGAAATCCGAGAAATTCATCGATCTAGGGGTTCATAGATGGCTAAAAGCTCAAGCCTTACCTGCTCGTAAATTTGGTACAAAGTTAACGCGGTGAATAGGACAAGTATTCCCGACCAGGTTGATCTAGAATCTAGAAATCTCTATACAGACTTAAAAAAACCGACCTGGCGCTCAAGTTCCGAGCCTTCAAGTGCCGCAAGCCTGTGATTCCGATTTCTTCGAATAGGTAGTGAATTCCAATCCTTTCTGTCATTGTTCTCGAGTTGTCTTGCATTTTAGAAATTTTGTAGCTTGCAGTTCTGTCGGTTTCCCGTTTACTCGGGCGTCTCAGCAAACTTATTCGTAGTTATGAGAGCTTTGAAAGGAGAAAAATTATCAAAATAATAGATTCCGGTATCCCTTGTCTTCTTTTTTTTAATTAGATAACTGCACTAAGTTTTTGCGGCTGTGTGCGGCAAGGCTATTTCGTTGATGAGTTTCTTTCCGGAGCTTTTTGGCCCCAATGTTCGAAAGACCCAATTTTAGCGGTCGCTTCCAGGGCGCAATCCCCAGGGGGGAGCCCATTTGAGGCGGACCCCGATCACCCTTGACTATATATGGGTCGGGGCCTGGGGGCGCCGCCAAATGCCCCTCTCGAGGAGCCTTTTGGGGGCGTCTTGGGTGGGGCCGGCGGGCGCCGTGGGTGGGGCATTTTTCCGGTATGCAGCGATGTAAATTGCAAAAAGTCATCTGAAAAGCGTTTTTTCGCAATTTGCATCGCTGCATACCGGAAAAATGCCCCACCAGCGCCGGCCCACCCAAGACGCCCCCAAAAGGCCCTCGGAGGGCATTGGCGGCGCCCCCAGGCCCCGACCCATATATACCCTTGACTTTTGGTTAAAAGGGATAATTGTTCCGTTCACCCGCAAGTTAGGAAGTTTTCAAAACAAACCCCATGCTTGAGTGGTAGCTATCGGAATCCTTGTTTCTCCTTGGCATCTAGAGGTAAAAAAGTATACAAATTCTTTTGATAATCGATAGCAAAAAATTAAAAATACTATCGATTCTAGTCAAGAACGTGCTGAGAGCGGTGAAAAATCGCCTTTTTGGCCTACATTTGTTTTTTACGCAAGGCAACGACTTGAACTTTCAGTTCGTTAAATTTTACAATGTTATGTCTTACGCTTAATTTACGCTCGACAGTGTGTTAAATATAAAGATATATTTATTCCCGAAAAAATTATATAAATTTGATTTTGGGTTGAAGATCTATAACTAGGAAAAAGAGCATAAAAATCGACAAAATATATCTTTGAGATTATTTGTAAAGCTCAAACAAGCATTTCCGTCTTTGCAGCCAGACCATCGGGATTCTCGGAGTTGGTCTGCGCCTCGTAGGCGGCTTGGGCGGTTTTTCGGCTCTGCCGGTTGAAGCAGAAGGGGAACATTTCGATGACCTTCTTGCGGTAGGGTTTCACGTAGTAGAGGGTGACCAGCGGGTTGAAGAGGCTCACCTACAAACAAGTGTAATTTGGATTATATCGGAAAATTACGATAGCGATATTCAAGAAGGACCACTCCTCGAAGTAGGGGAAGTAGTCGGCGAGCCTGAAAAAAGAGTATATAACGTGTAAATCATTAGACAAATGCTTTTTTAAGAGCATTGTAAGACAAAATTTCAATTAAAGTTATATCCTAACCCTAAAAAGTAAGGCTCGAACTTACGGCAATTTAAACTGGCGCCAAAAATATCCACTAGCCTGGCTCATCATCACCAAGGGCAGGATGAGCTGGATCGTCAGGGCCCGCAAATATGAAGTTTTTCGAATTCTTGTCGTAAAACTATACCTTAACCAGATCCTTCTGCGCCTTCTTGGTGTTCTCGCTCATCGCTCCGTTGCTCGTAATTCGTTTCAGAATATTACGGCGAAGAATGATCGAAATGGCATATCCGGGGATGACCGGGAAGCAGATCCAAATGATGATGGCCAAGCAGCTAAAAATTAACGCTTTTTCCATTAACCTCGTCTCAATGCGGTTTTTCCTTATCTTCAATTTGCCAAATTTCCAAACTATCGTAACCCTACGTTTTCTGAAAAATGCTCTCGTATCCAATAATTGCTGCAATGTTCGGGTCATCAGGCCAGAGTGAGATATTCCGGTGTTCGAACAACATCTTCCGAGCCACTTCTGGAGGACTGGTTGAGGTGGCGAACATGATCTGTAACAGAGCGACAGCATTAAACCTGAAATGCACAATTACCATTGACGCCAAGGCCGGGATGAAAGCGATAGAGCAAATCGCATACATCAGCCAATTTTTCGGGGCTCCACTGTTCAATACGTAGTGGCGATACCTTAATGAAAGCATGAGGTTAGCAAAAGAGAGAGAGAGAGAGAGAGAGAGAGAGAGAGAGAGAGAGTAAGAGGGCGAGAGAGAGTTAGAGAGAGATAGGGAAGGAGTAAGAGAGGGAGCGAGTAGCGCGAGAGTGAGAGAGAGCGCGAGAGAGATTTAGCAACTGCTAGCTTACCAAAACGATAGCGGTAGCAACGAATAGTTGTATGCAATCGTTCCAGCTGTGATGGAGTGTACTAAAATGTAACAAGCTTTTAATATGATCATTTACTTACCGTCAATACAAAACTGCGGCGACACTTTTCGGCAAATTCCGTGAAATTGGTAAGCCAGACCCCAATCCACCGGAATGCATCTGCAAGTTAGTTAAAATTTTCTAAGCTGGAAAATCGGCGATTTAGTAGCTTTTCAACGTCTGAAAAATCGTAGTAAGCTTACCGGCACATCGCCATCCCCGCGGATAAACCCACAAAGAATTCGGCTAGCGTCATGCTGGAAGCGAATTTTGTATGAAAATAAAAAAAGACCAGATACCTCCCGAGTAAGATTGAGTACGATCGGAACGATTTTGCCGTGTGGAAAACGATAAGGTATAAGAGGAGGCCGTTAAAAATAATTGATAGCACATCGCAAATTGAGTGGGCGGTGGTGAACATCGTCGCGCGAAGAGGCGTGAATGGGAAGTCGATGACTAAAAAAATTCGTTAGCGGGCCTACTAGCAGCGATTGTTTAGGATGCCTCTATCTATTAGTACGGCATTTTCTCATGTTTCAGTATTTGCCTGCTTGGTAAAATTTAGACTTATTAGAGATTTTTGCCGGTTGACCGTGAGAATGTAAAAACTCTCCAGAATAAATGAAAATTATTCGAAAGTGTTGAAGTTTCCTCTGAGTAATGAATGAATCGGTTAAGTATCGAACATAAAAAGTTTGATAAAAAAGGTAACACACCAAATTGCGCCGACGACATTTTGACTACGCTTTCGCTCCTGTTGAGTAGATAACAAGATTACGGTAATGGAAGCCAGCCCAAAATTCGGCTACTGTAGCGAAGAATGCAGAAACTAACGCCTTTTGCCCTTTTATAGCCACCTCAAGGTGTTGCACCCCTAAAAACGTCGTTTTTTTGCATGTTGCTGAGTGTGTGGGAACCGGCCCAGCTACAAACAGAATAGTATGAAGCCATTAAGCGACGAAAAAGTGTAAAAATAGGTCGCGTGAGAATGCTATATTTTGGTAGGAAAAACAGGAGACGAAAACCATGTAGGTCGCGTGTTAGAGCAGCTTCGAAGGAAGGGGTAGGTGGGCCTTGAAAGCATAAAGTCGTAGCGAAAGGTGGATTGGGTGAAGTCTCGTCATGGGAAAGCGCCGAGCTGCAGTTATGTTTAAAATAAGAAACAAGTCTACTTTAAAACGGCCTGAAGCAATAGTAGAAATTCGAAAGTATCATAAATACAATTAATTCCCATTTTTAGAGCAAAAGTCGTTTCCTCGTTTTCTGGCGGAAATAAAAATTTTGTGTCGGTTCTTCACCCCAATCACAAAATCATTTCCCCAAGGAGCACTTTTCCTCGAAAAATGTTTCGGGATCTTTCAACGGTTTTGCAGGGGCCTTTCGGTCAACCAAAAAGTAAAGCAGCTGTTCAGGTATCTCCTCAAAAACTTAATTTCCGGAATGAAGCGGCTGATTTCAGGTGCCTTTTTGCAAAAACACAAAAGAACCCGATTTCTAGTTCGACAGATTTTTTACGACGAGGACGAATTGGTGCTTGTGGAAACGTTTCCAAGAAAAACCAGGCTGAGTAATTAAAAAATAATTATGAATTGGAACGTTCCGGAACTTCTACCCGTTTTTGGCCACGCACCCATGAGGGGAAATTGGCCACGACAGAAGAAGCTGATGTTTTAAGGTTTTACCAAAAATACAGTTAAGGAGAAGCGGTGCGATGTATTTATGAGGCTCGACTGCGTGGGCAATTCGCAACATCTGCTTCCCAAATGCCGTGCTCCTTTTTATATCTTTGAGCTTCTCCTAAATAGTGTGTTTTGAACCAATAACCACTAACCGATTTAGAGACTTATTATTTTACCAGCCGATTACAGCCGCTTCGCGACTGTAATCGACTGGCCTTCGGGCTACCCTCCATATTCTACACCACCACATCCCTCGCTACTTTCGTTGATACATAAGCTGATGTTTTCAGAAACCCCCCATAGCCGAAATCCCCTTAAAAACTACTTCGATACCTTCCGGATGGCTTTAGATACCTCCCCATAGCCGAAATCCCCTTCAAAAACTACCTAAATACCTTCCTGATGGTTTAAGATACCCCCCATGGCTGAAATCCCCTTCAAAAACTACCTAAATACCTTCCTGATGGTTTAAGATACCTCCCCTAGCCGAAATCCCCTTAAAAAACAAAAATAACGGCCGACCGGATGGAATGAGAGAAAAAAAGAAATGAAATGGTTCCCGTGAAAATTTTCATCCACGAAACGCGCGACACCTGGCTCACTATGTCCAAAATCACCCCAGCCCCCGTCCCCCACCCCTTTTACTAAGGAAAAAACTTTCAAAGTTAATTTTAATAATTTAAATTAAAGCTTTTTCATAATTTTTTTATCAGTTTGGGGGTTTCTGACCACGCTCTATCCGAATCCGAAGAGAGCTAAGCTCTAGCTCCTTTCCCCTTCGAGTTGAATTCGGGACCGGACAGACGGACAGACGGACGGACAGACACCACAACTTTTTTATTATAGTTGATCCATATTTGACAAAAGGAAGCGGCACCCTACGCTAGAATAGTAGCTAGAACTTTTTTTCACAATTTTTTATAGGTACTCTTAAAGTCAATCCAAAGCCTAATCGTGGTTTAACTATTTTATGTGTAAGCTCCTCACCTTATTTACGAATGCAATGAAACGGAATACTACGCCCTTACAAAATAGGTATGATGGATTTACCGAAATTTGAGTAAAACAGCCACAGCTACGCGTTCACGGTACTGAATGCGATAACTAAGACAAGACAACTAAGAAAAAACACGGAATATCAAAAGTCCTCGGGGTCGAAATTTTCTGGTCCCATGCAAAAAAGCGAAAAAAAATATTGGCTAGAAGAAGATTTTTGGTTTCTTTACTGAACATACAGGGTGGCGATTAAGTATTCGCGCCTGTTTCAAGCACGCGCCTTGACGCACTTGGGGTTATAAATATTGGTTGCGCGGGACCGCTCGTTTTTTGCAAAAGAATACGCTAAAGTTACAATCTAGCTATACTCTAGCTGATACTTTCCGACCAACCTAATGCTAGGGATATGCTAGAATACGCTTGCCACCCGCACGCGCGTACGGCTAATCAGCGGTGGATTAATGCATTTGTCTGGAAAAGGGACACACTTGTTGAATAAGTTTTTATTCATATACAAAGAATACCGGAGAACATGTAATAGTCCTTCAACTTTCTTAATTTATTTGTAATAAGAGAATATTCTTCAATTAAAATTCAGGATACACAGATTCCGGGTTTCACGGGATTTCCGAGATTGATGTATTTTCCATACCGCTTGTGATGGTTGGTATAGGTGGTGGGCGAGTTTGGCTTTCCTTAAACACAAAATTCTTCATTTTAGCGATATAGAAATACCGATGACGTCGTAATGTTCGATGTACTCGAAATCGGCTTCTTAACGTGGAAGAGACGCGCCACCGGATTTCTAAAAACACAGGATGAAAAGGCGGTAAAATAGGCCCAGACTTTTCCGCCAGGGATTTCCAAGGCATAATACAGTACCTGTAGCACTTGATAAAGTACGTAATCACTAGGGGCTCCAGAATTGGATCCAACATCAGTAAAACGCAAAGAATATCCGAATTCCAGTTTTCGAATCCAATCACGGCACAGAAGAAGAAAAATGACATTGGGATGTAAACGCAGAAGAGAGGGACGATTAGCTGTAATTAAACCTCTAATTTGTAACACTTTTAAGCACCATGAGGGAATTTTAGAATTTGCCCTTTCACGACCTCAAAATCCGTCTCAGACCCACCTGGAAAATCAGCGCCTTGAACAGCTCTTTTTGCATGATTCTGGTCTTGGTGCTTTGGACTTTTACCTTCAGATTCTGAAAATTTCATTAATTTCGCGAACTCCTATAGGATGTTACCTTATTCAAAGACCACGCACAAAAAATAATGACAGCCCAGGTGGCGGATAAGACGACGCAATATACCATCATTCCGAGATAGGATCGGATGATGATTTTGGTGGAGACGTGCGGAAAATTAAGATCTCTAACCTCCCCCACTTTCTCTCACTCTCCACTTCACTCCCTGCTCTCACCCTGCTCTCTCTCTCTCTCTCTCTCTCTCTCTCCCTCTTTCTCACCTCAAATCCCTGCGCCAAAGACCCAGTATGCAGGACATCGTGACCGGTCGCAGCTTTGAATTTTGGGTTTGTAAATTCAAAAACTTCATCGTTTGGGTGCAACGCGATATGGGTATTCATGGTCCAGGTGCCGCTATAACAAATGTTATTATTGTTCCTAAGTAATACATACCAAATTACTGCATAGAAACAAATTCCAGCCAATACGACCCTGTGCGTCTTCAGCTTTGGCAACCAGCCGGCTCTGGAAAGTTGAAAGATAGATAGGTTTTTATGTAGTTTCATCGTCGCTAGCTTTAGGGGTAACTGACTTGCAAACCACCACGTAACGGTAGATAAATTGGAAGCTCAAAAACACGAGCAGCTGCGAGAAGCCGCTGCAGTAGATGACCATCAACGCGTATTTCCAGTTCTCGTCGGTCAGGATTTTTGACCAAGAGACGCAAAGATACGCTCGACCAAAGATGTAGGTTGCCTGAAAAAAGCTACGTTGAGAGAGAGATAGAGAGAATGAAAGAAGAGAAAGAGAGAGAGAAGAGAGAGAGATAGAGAGAGATAGACAGCGCGCAAGAGATACAAAATCACTTACCGGTGCCACGATCATATCCACCGTAACGAAGCAAACGTTAAAAATCGTGTACGCCAGGAGAAGCCACGGATATTTGCCCATCGTCTTCGGCGAGTATTTTACGATCAGGAATAACACAATCGCGTTTAGAAACACGGCTAGCAGCCATTCGACAAAGTGCACGCGGGCGTCGGTGAACATCTGCCAATCAACTTTAATGTCCCTTCGAAGAAATGGCAGGAACTAGCATAAAAAATTTCAGAAATCTAAATATCACGGTGATCGCATTAAGAAATGGTTATCATAGTCGAGCAAAAACTACGGTTTCTGACAAAGTAGGGGCCGTTTGACACTCCCCAGATCAGCTTGGAAAACTTCCTGGCTGGGTGAGTAATCTTGGGAGTATCCCATCCGGTTAGCTCTGCATAATTTTAGCTTAAGCACGCGACTACGTGCAAGACCATTTTCACGGGCGCAGGCCTCAACGCCAAACTTTCTCTGCGTCTCTCGTTACCCCCGCGCTCGCAGATGTTCAAGCCGTCTGACCTGCATGCAATCTACCACTGAAAGGACATCTGTCCGCGCGGACTAGGCACTAATGGCCGAGACAGCAACTTGTAAACTTCGAGCGTTCAGGCGTTTTTAGAAAATAATATATTAAATGTTTCTGACTATAAGATCTCAAAAAGTACCAAATATCGTACGGATTTCGCATTATAGCTTGCCAGAATCGACATTGTAATGAAAGCGTATTCGTCTGGAAATTGACTTTACAGGTTATCCAATCTAAAGTGTATTGCCGTATGCATGATATCTTTTCGGACGTAATTAAAGGACTCTGGAAAATCAGGTTTTGTAGGAACATATTAGGTAGACTCCCCTCAAACTGTGTAATAAATCTCAACAAAGCATTTTTAATGTATTTTTAATGTAACAAAATTACGTATCTTATGGATATTAGTATTACACAGACAGGTATACTAGTATTTCAAGACATTCTTCTAATGGAAACGAATATTAAAACATTTTGATGATCAAAAGGTGGAACTAATATTATTAAATAAAAAATAAAATTAATTAAACCACCTTGTGCCGCTAAAGTACGTAGAAAAATAAAATATTGACAAGCTGATTTTAATTTCTTCAGTTACGAGACTAATTACTTAACATAAAATTCAGTAGCACGTTTTGATACCTTAGAAACCTTTAATATATTATTTGTTAAAAACGCTTTATTATTAAAAAGCGCTCGAACGGTGGTATTTGTTTTTTTCTTATTAATGTTTTCAAGACTAAAATATCGCATCTGCGCCCTTCTGCGTGATAAGCAGATGTGCTTTTTGTACTGCCAGGAGCCCCGTCTGGCAGATGGCCCGGCAAGAGAATAGTGCCCAGAAAAAAGTTTGGCGTTGAGGCATGTATCCCATTTTCACAGCCAATTTTGGGTAAAATTTGCTTGAAACTAGACAAAAGAGCCCGTTTCAAGGTGGTGACAACTGAACTTAGAACCTAGCGATTCCACCAGGTCCAAATTTGTGGTAAATTGCAGAAACCCAACGATGAGAATCCCTGAAATTGATCAAAGCATATAAGAACAAATTTCTGACGTTCTAAGAATGATACCGTACCGTTGACTAAACCATATTTGCGCTCGGACCCTATAAGTACGCGCAGATCCATCATCTCGGAACTGGAGCCTTTGTATGTAAATTTTTCTGCTGCCGTCGGGAGTGGCATAACGAACAATGCGCTACAAAAAGGGGGCGCACAATAGCAAAGAATGGCAAGAACGTAGTTTGGATTTACACAGAATTTGGTTTTTCCCTGCTGGATTCATGATTGCCAGAGTTATCCTGGCGCGGGATGGTCTTCGAAAATTGGGACCCGGTTTGCTATGAAAAAAGTATATAAGTAAGAATAAAAATTTACATAAATAATAATTCTTCATGAAATTTCGTAACCGTAAATTAACGCATTCCAAAACGCCTGCATCATCAGGACTCCATTTCCAGCCGGCACCAAAGGTTGGGACTACCGTACCCTCACCCTCCCACTTCCCCTGCTGCTGGAAGCTTTCCCCGCCAATTTCAAGTTTTCACAGGTGCACGAGTGATCAATGAATGCATCTGCGCCAAAGTCACGTCACGAAATTAGTCATTCGTACGGTTTGGGAATTTTTTAAGTTCTGCATTTTCCCGGGGTTCCTGACGGCAAAAAGCGTAATTAGATGGAAAACCGCGTGTTCGAAGTAGCGCCACATCGCAATGCTGGCCAAATCCCTCAAAACGTATCCTTTGCAAGTTTTATAGCCGTAAGTACGAATCCGCTCTGGAACCAGTTCAAAATGAAATGCCGTCCAATTCTCAGCTGCGGATGTGCTTCTTCAATCTGTAACCCTGCGAGTTCTGCTGCTGAGTTAGGCTTCAAAACCATTCGCACAAAATATCGATAAAAAAAATCAGAAATATTATTTTCAAGGGAGTCTTCTAGTAGAATCTGGGGTTATCGGGGTTAAAAGGTAATATGGCAAAATGGAGCCATCATCGCTTCTCTTCTCCACGTTTTTTCGATTTTTTGTGGTTTTCGGAACTGTGTCATTTTTGTAGCATGACCACAGCAAAGTGGCATTTCGTTTTTAGAATTTTTTTATGATGTTCTTTTTTGCTTCTTCATACACTATTGTATTTTATAGCTTGCCGAAGCGTAGTTTGACGCTAACTAGGCTGTCTGTTTGCCGAATTCATGCAATTTGACGAATTTCCTTGTTTACGGGTGCGCTAAGGAAGTGGTAATTTGTAGGTATTCGTAGAAATCTAGCGTACACTGGCGGAGCCGAAAATTATGGGTATGGCGATGGATGCTTTATAAAAAATAAAAAATACAATGAAAATAAAGTTAGTTTTAAAGCTATTCAAATAATAACATTTCTGGAGGTGGTCTCGGGGTCCGGTTGGGTGCTCGACTTGGTGATGACCCCTTGAGGGGCCGTTTTTCCGGATGTTCTTCCCTAAAAAATATATTTGTTTCATTTTCATAACTTTGTAAATTCATCAAAATTCAAAATTAGCTTACCGATGAGGTAGTTCCCCATTGATAAATCTTTTGCCGGCCGCAGGTGAAGAAGCGAAGAACTGGTTGTCTGAAAAAATGTCCTTTTAATGTACTTTTTGTTATTAATTTTTAACAATTATATATCACAGAGAACGTAAGAAATTGCCATTTTTAAAGTGCCGAACTTACGTTTCAAGGTATATTTATGCTATTAATCTGGTGAAGATAAGGTATATCCCACCTGTAGCACTTAATAAAGTACATCAATACAATAGGTTCCAGCATCGGGTCGAACATAATTAGCATACAAAGAATATCAGTATCCCAGCTATCAAAGCCCACGATAGCTGCTCCAAGAAATAATCCCAACGGTCCGAATACGCAGCAAATAGGAACGATCAGCTAAAAATTACAAATTTTCCTTCTATTTCTAATTTACATTTTATTTTTCCGGGTATCAACTGTACTTGTTTTTATTATGCATTATTTTTTGAGGAAATACGATCACTCAAATGCCCTTTTGCGAATCTACCATAAAATGCAACAAAAAAACACCCAAAAACAAACCTGAAAAATCAGGGCCCGGAAGAGCTCCTTTTGCATAGTTTTCGTGCGATTGCTGATGCCTTTGGATTTTAGGGCCTGAATGGGTGGACTTAATATGATTTTTAAGGAGTTGGATACCTTATTTAGCGCCCATCCACAGTAGATGATAATTGCCCAATTGGCTGACAGCATCGAGCAGAAGACGAACATGCCGATGTAGGAGCGAACGATGACGCGGGTAGAGACTTTCTGAAATAAATATAGTTTTTAATTTAATATATCATTAATATATATGATGCATATTATTATATATAATTGATGCTATTAATAAATTATTAGTAAGCTATTTACAATGTTGTAAAAAACATTTTACCATAAATGAGCAACACACTACTCTCATCGAAGCCTTTTTCGCGGTACTCTGTCCATTTTTCATACCATTTCACAAGCTTAAATTCTCAAAATATTTCCCGTACTTTAAAACAGTCTCAAAATTGCCCACCTCTTTCATAGAAGCACTAATGAAACCCATAAATCATAATAAAACATTCAGAAACAAACCTCAAAAGCCTGCGCCAACCCGCGGGTTCCCATCACACTGCGCCCGGTCCAGTTTGTGTACCGCTCGTTGGTCAGCTTGAATATCTCCTCGTCGGGATACAGCGTAAAGTAGGAGTTGATTGTCCAGGTGCCACTAAAAAAAGTTCTTCCTAAAGGACAGGTTCAAAATTACCAAATCAAGAAGAAGTACGACACCCCATAAACAATCGTCCGGCCCGTGGTGAGTTTTGGGAGCCATTCTGTTCTGGAAAGAAAAATCTGATCAGAAAAACTATAAGAAGCTATTCTATTATGATTTTATATTTACAATCAGTTTTCTATCAAGATTCTCTGAATTCTGTTTATAAGGATAAATTAATATAATATCAGTGCCTTCAAAGCTCAGAATCTAAACCCACTTGCAAACCACGATATAGCGATACAAAAATTGGAAGCTCAGAAATACGAGGAGACCACAACAGCTGCAGCAGTAGAGGACCATCAAGTTGAAAATCCAGAACTCGTCGGTTATGATATTAGTCAGGGAAACGAGCAGGAAAGCTCGTCCGACTATGTAGGTTGACTAAAAACGTAGTTAAAAAAAGTTGGTTGCACTTTTTCGAGAGTTAGAAGGACGAAACTAGTTTTTTCGAAATTTCTTTTTGTCAAAGTACAAATCCAATTTTCAACAAAACTACGCCTCAAAAAAGGAATTTCGACCAAACTTCCGATGGAAGTATTCAAATTGACCTTTTTTGACTTACCGGCGTAACAATCACATCTATCGTCACGTAGGTCATATTAAAAATCGAATACGCCGCGAGCAGCCACGGATATTTTCCCATCGTTTTAGGCGAGTATACAATAATTAAGCAAAGAATGACGGCATTCAGAATAGCAGCAATGCACCACTCGACCAGGTGCCCCGTTTGGTTCGCGATCATTCTGTGGGTATTCATGTTGCAAGAATTGTGAAAGCCGTCAATGAAAAATGCACAGAATTGAAAATATTATCATTGTCTCTACATAAAAATCAATTCCGGCATCCAAAAACCCTAGATGACGGGGAATTACATGATTTCTTTGAGGAAGATGCACTTCCCTCATTCTCCAAGAAAATAATCAGGAAGCAGCGGAGCATACCGAACAAAATAAGTCCAAGGGAAATCTACAGGGAAAGCGTAGTAAACGTAAACGTAGAACAGAACGTAGAAAGAAGGCTTTATAGGACGAGGAAGCCTAAACGAGCGAGAGAGAAAGAGAGAGCGAGAGAGCGCGAGAGAGACAGACCCAGGGAGAGAGAGATAGAGATTGGGGGAGAGATAGAGATTGAGAGAGAGGGAGAAAGATAGTTTTATAACAGGCCAACAAAGAGTTTTGTTCGTGAGTTTGGATTTTGAGATGTCGCATAGCTTTCGCAGCGATAGAGCTTGCAATGCTAACCAATCCTCATTGTCGGTGTTTTGTAAAAGAGCTTTTCAAAGTCTACATTTTCTTTGGAAAGACGCGGTTTTTTAAGAATTTCAAGCCCCTGAACGAGCCTTTTCAAATGACTCGAGAAATATGTATGTTTGTCCGCGAAAGAAACGTAATAAAATGTAATAAAAGCAAAAGTTAAGTAATCGGCTGCCGTCAAGGACCATAGCGTCCTTCGAGAAATTTCCGCAGCCCTGAATAGGTCTCACGAAAGCCAAAACTACTCATCCGGTAAGGGCAGCCAACCCTACCGGTGACACGTGGAATGTACCAAAAGCAATGACCCCGATTCCACGAAATCGGGAGTTTTCGATTCAAATCGTTGATTTGAGCTTGGGCGAATAGTGTACCGGAAAGCCGCAAGGTGCTACAAGCTTTGCGCAGGGCAGACGTTCGGATTTCCCGTGTTTTGTTTTCCGGGCGAGTTACTTTTAAGGGGAGTACATAGAACTGGTGCTTCTAGGTTTAAATGGTAAATGGTCCCATCTTCAGAAAATTGATCCAAAGACCAAGCCAAAAACTATCATAGCAAAAGGCCATTTTTCATTGTTATGCAAATAAATCTTTCCTCTAAAATTTTTGCGGGATGGTCCCCATAATTTATGTAAATTAACCATTGCGAAACCTCAAAAAAGACAAGAAGTTTGCTAAGCCTTCAGACTACCCAACCAGTTAAACGGAGCACGAAAAGTCACATAGGACACGTTGCGAAAAATAGGGCTTTTTCCCAGCCACCGACTACGGCAGCAAGGTTCAGCGTCGGCATTTCGAGACCAGAGCGCAGGCTGAGCTCCTTCAGCATAAACGTAAAATAAGCTACTTCAGCGGTTTTGGAATCCAAACGTATTAATTCCAAACATCGGTTTCTTTTAACCAGGACCTGTTAGGGCGAAAAGTTATTCGGGGTTGAGTCGAACCTTGATGACCCACTAGTGCATCGACGCGCTTCGCGTCATCTACTCTATTTTCAAAAAAAAAATTAATTGGGTACATTCCGGACGACCGCATCTTTAATCGCAAGCTTTTCCAATAACCCGGAAATACGCGAAAATACTGCCAGATCAAAAATAGTAATCCAAAGATTCCTGGAATCTTTTACGCGGGATCCCACAGATGCTGAGCAAACCCAATAAGCCAAAGGGCTTTTCTATTAGCTTGGGAAGCTCCTGCATCCCAAAAAAGCCAAAACCGTAATTTTTCAGCTCGCCGAGTGCATATCCCATGCTGTGATCGCCCTGACTCATGCAAAGTCTGCCCCGCAAAATTTCGGTTTGATTTTTGGATGGGAAAGGACAGCGTTGGAACCCAGAGAACAGCCATCGGTTTCGGGAACCGGAATCTTGCTGAACGCTCACTACAGGGTGTTTGAGTAAAAAACCCTCTAACTCGATGCTGGCGTATCGGATCGGAATGATAGTTGCACCCTGGAAAGTCCTTGAACGGAATGAATTATGCAAAGTTTCATAGGCTTAGGGCTTACGATGCCCGATTTTTGGGGGGGCGGGGGCAACTCCAAAAAAAATTTTTTGGCAACGTATCAACTATCAAAAACAGCGCCGCAGGCGAAAATTTTTGAAAACTTAGGGCCATGACGGTAAAAAACAGCCTTAAAAACAACAATAAAAAGCGCCGCAGGCAACAAAATTTTCAGGAAAGAAAAATCATAAGGGCCCCCCTTATGAATTTTTCGGCCTTCGGCCGATTTGGGGGGGCAACTTGCCCCAGTTGCCCCCCCTTCCTACGGGCCTGCTTACGGGGGTGCGAAATAGATTTTTGAGTTTTTGAAACGATACGTCCTATATGATAGAACGAGCGATTTGGCAAAAATTGAAAGCGGATTCGGAATCAGGGAAAAATTCTATACAAAATAGGCTAGGTACCATTCCGAGCCACCTTAACCTTACGTGGTTTGCTTGTTAATGAAATGCCAGTGTTTTTAGTCTGGTGCGACGGCGTTATTCATCGGCCTGCCAAGTGCCATGTTTCTATTAGTATTTTTGGAGGTGTTAGCCTGGGAATGGCTGTTATGGGGTAAAATTACTCTTAATTTCGAGCCTTTTCCCTTATTTTAGTAGTCGGCCTGTTCTGCGGGTGGAACGGTCTGCACAGCCTCGCCAACAATCTGGTCGTTTTGTGAGCTACCAAACCGTATAGGAACGCGATATTCCAATGGCTTAGCAGGATCTATGGTGTAATGAGCATTTTAATTAGCGAGAGTAATCATTTAGAAATCGAATCCTTGGGCCGCCAAGTCTGTAGTCGCCGTAAGGGCAGTGAAATGGCAGGCGGCCATGCACGTCATCAACAAGTGGCCCACGCCGATTAATGCCGATGGCAAGCCGGCGAAATCGAGCGGAGAACATTAGGCTTTTTGTTCATGTTTCAATTTCATGCCTTTTTACGAATTTAAAGCCTTGTAGAATTTTACTAACAAGGAGTGCTTTTTTTGAGTCAGCGGAAAAACCTTACGAGACCTAGCTCATTCGATAGAGAATTCTATTCTGAACAAAACCCCGTTGTTCTTTTTTGCAGAATGGCTATCCCTGATTTTATAAAATTGTAAAACTGCACCCAAAAGCCTCTCTTTTGGCTCGAAAGGCACTCATGGTAAGGGACGGTCACTAGTATTTTAATTTTATAAAATCAGGGATAGCCATTCTGCAAGAAAGAACAACGGGGTTTTGTTCAGAATAGAATTCTCTACCGAATGAGCCAGGTCTCGTAAGGTTTTGCAGATGACTCAAAAAAAAAGCACTCCTTGTAAGATGTGATTTTGAATTAATGTGTTATTGCAATTTTGTCATATTCACCCAAAATTGACATATGGTTCGGGTTCTTCAATATTTAGTCGTGGTTGGCTGCCAGACTCTTCTTTCGAAACCGGGTTTACTGCCAAGATGTTTGTGCTCGTTTGTCTGGTGCCTCTCATCTGATCGCCTTTCTAAATTTGGCTTTATGCATTTTTGTTGAATAATGGAAATAAATTAGTTCTTGCTGTGCTGCTCAAGTCAACGATCTGTCGCAGATCCACAGAAAAATGCGCGCGCACGAAAGTTTTTCTAGTTTCGTTGCTTTTTCTGACAATTAGAGATAAATAAAATTTACCGAGGAGGTAGCGGTGTCGTAGACCCTTCTTTCTTTGTGGTGCAACCAGCGCGCAACGGGTGTTCTGACATTTTTTTGGTGTCAGTTAC